TATTTCCTAAACTTTAACGTTAATTTTCATTTATATTTATTTTACTTTATTTTATTTTTTTTAAATTTGATGAAGTAGTTGAACTCGACAATCAAATTAAAAAACACCTTTAAAAGAGTACTTAATAATTAAGTAAATAATTCCTTCTATACTATAGATAACTATCTAAATTGCAACATCCGGCCTTAAAATATCTATTTACTTATTTTCTTGTACATTTGTCGTCTTGTTTTATATTTTTATATAAATGCTTACTAATATTTTGTAAATTATTACACTTTCGCAGTCTACTGTAATACTATTTACAAAACTTCTGGATTCCTCTTGCATCGGTTGCACTTCTCGGATTCTCGGATTTTTCATTGGTAGAAGAATTGATTGCACACAAGAATTTTAGTTTTATCGAATAAGATTTGATGGCCGCTTTTATAATTGTGTTTTTCTTCTCCTGGTATCTGATTCTCTGGTTCTCCAATATATTCTCTACCAAAATAACTAGCTACTTTAATAAATCCCTTTACAGGCCAAACTGATAGATTCGTACTTAATTCCCCGTAGTTCGTTAAACAATTACATTAGATCCAATCGATATTGCAGTTAATATCGATATACAATTTCTCTTTACCAAAGTCCCTATTCCTGAAGCGCTCAAACAAACCAAACCTTCTCGTCTTCATTAAAAAATGCTTGTCTGGAACATATTTATGTTATGTCTGCTCTAGAACTGGCACTACACCACTGCTAACTTCAGGAACACCTCGGGGATCTCGATTATTAGCAGTCATCGGGAATATATTTTGAAAACAAAGCATCTTAATGCAAAATTATTAAAAATGTTGAAGAAATGTTTTTATATGGCCTCATGGTCTCTTGATTCGTATCCCTCAGAGATTTTTTCAGATATTTAAACTGCAAACATGGTCTACCATTAAATTAGCTCATATATAGTGATATTTTTATGAACATGTTGTCTGCCAACTAGGAGGGAACTCGCAAATTGCGTTTGACCAGTTATCTTGTCTTATGTGTAGATGCCATTTTTGTCAAGCTACGATTAAACTTGCAATATATCGGTGAATATCTTTAGAGAGCTTCTGGGAAAAGAAGAAAAGCAATGCAAGTAAAATAGAATTTTAATGTTTGTGGAATTTCTTCAAACGGTCTTACACACAAGGGACTCTTACATACTGGACAGAAATGACACGCTTCTGTTTTTTTGACTAGGCTACATATACGACATGGCTTTGTAGACGCCTTTCTTTCCGGTAGGTGGTGTTCTTCTTCTGTTGCCTTATCATTTGTTGACGTTGTCTTTGTCTACTGCTGCCCTCAACAATGTCCCCATGGGATTCTAACCCTACCAGGACCTCGATATTGTTCATTTCTCATAATGTGCCCCCAGTAGGGAAATTGTTTCTCCTTGATCGTCTTCAGGAGTTCTTTATTTTCATTAATTTTTTGCTATATGTTAGTTACGTGGTAGGTTCATCATTTTACGATAGTCTCCACACCATAGACCATTACAGAGAGAGGAATCGCGTCCGGGTTTTCGAGGATAAAGTACAAAGAATGTTTCTGAGTAATAATTTCCCTAGAATGATCCCATTTGTCGTTCCAGCTGCAACTAAGATACAGAAATCTTCCTACAGTTTCGAGCTTAGTATTTTTCACTTGCAGATTAGCTTTGATGTTTGCATTTTTGCTAATGATCATAATCTTCTTTGTTTTTGAGACTACTTAGTCTCTCGCCATTTTTACATTCAGTCAAGGCCTCACTGAAGAGATGCTCGGAGTAGAGGTAACACCTTTTTGTACTCGTGGTAGAGTGTGTGGTTTTTTATTAAACCGATGCACTCGACAACTTCTAAGATAATACTGACGAAATAATTTGTGAGCCCTTTGGAAAAAAAATATTTTTTTATTTGCGATGATACCGATGGACTAGAATTAAAATTTTTATTAAGACAACTTGTTAAAATCAAATTGTCATTTATTGATTTTTATTATTATATTTCACCGATTTTTCTAGCAAAAAAGTTTCTCAATCGCGACTCACCAATACGGGACGATATAAGCCAACAGGATTATTGGCGAAATTTCCAGAATTAGAGTACTATTTACAAAACTTCTAGATTCCTCCCGCGTCGGTTTTTGTTGAGTCAAAGTTGCAAACGTTTCGCCAATCATCCTGTTGGCTTCTTCAGAGATTGACTGAAACTGTTTCTTTAACTGTTCTAAATACTGCTGTCTGCGACCGCCATTTTCCTGAACCCATTTCTCATACATTGTAATTGTATGATGTTTTGCATTTAGTAACGTTTCCGGATTGTCTCTTAACTGTTTGATTGCCTCTGAAATACTTTGCCGAAGTTCGACGACATTATTACAAGGAATTCTGTGCACGTCATTTTTTGTGTCCCCAAAAGAAAAAATCCATTAACGCCAGGTCGGGACTGTTGACTGGCTAATCCATGCAACCCCTGGGATATTCCATGTTAACAAAATTTTTAACTTGCACAACATTGTGAAGAAGGACACCTTATAATCAGCGCTGATATATTTAGGGGCAAATCCGCTATATATTGTTCTATCGTTCTCTAAGAATTGCAAATAATGATCTCCAGCTAACTTTTGATATGCTTATCTGGGTTTTTATTTCGTGTATTTGTCTAAGATTATTTAAAGACGAATTTCGTGTATTCTGTCCATTACAACCCTTTCTTGTAGTGAATTATCTTTCATCAATCCATAAAATGTTTTTCAAAAAATTATTATTCTCATTTTGTCTATTTTAAAAATACAAAGAAAACTGATACCTCCGATATTATTCTGCACTTAGTTTTTGAGTTTTACGAATATTCATATTCTTTCAAAAATGAGAGGATTGATCCCTGAGAAATAAGTGTCGCTTCATAAACTCTAGTAATAGAGGAAACTGGATGTGCTTCATAGAATCCTAATATGTTTGCCTTATGGTCTTCATTTAAAATATTATGATTCCGGCACACCTTGTTATCATTTAATACGCTTCCGTTTTCTGCAAATTTCTTTGGTAGCCTGAATATCTGTTCTGGACAAAGTCTAATATTCTGAGGACGAGATGTGGTTGCACTTTTATTATTTAGAAAGTATACTTGAAACATATCACTCCTATCACTAAATTCGCAAAAAAGCAGTTTGGCAGTAACGACTTGGACAATAATTCAACCATCAACGTCGGTTACTAATATGTCTGACATAGACACATTTTTATTTGTCAGTCAGGGCACTCTTTGCAATTATGTAAAAATGTCGTATTTTTGCCGATTTGTCAAAAACCAGTGAACGAAAATATAAAGTTTGTTACATCATTGTAATCTGAATAATATATTCTATTAGTATAATATAGAGGGCGTTCCATAAAAAAAATTTTTTTTGTTTTTTTGATAACCTCGATATCTCTAAAAACAAAAAAGTTACAGCCAATTTAAAATGTTATCCATATACGAGGTTAGCGCCAAAATTTCCCGGCCTGACATAGTGCACCTCCAGTGTCACGATAAAATTGAACAGAGCAAAAGAAGGGTTAGTACCTAAAATTATTAAAGAAAGGCTGGATGGTGTGTACGGCTAAAGTTCTCCTTCGTTTTCTGTAGTGAAAGAATGGACAAAACGTTTTCGAATGGGGCAGGAGTCCATTAAAGATGATTCAAGAACTGGTCGATCAATGGAGATCATAAAGGAAGATATTGTTGCGAATGTGGAAGAGGTGGTATTGAGTGATCGACGTTTAAACGTCAAAGAAATCTCAGAAATTACTAAGCTTTCGTGTACAAGTATCCCTCGGATCCTGCTTGATCATTTAGGTATGCATAAGGTTAGTCCAAGATGGGTTCCTAAAAACCTTTCGGCTATTCAAAAACGCCGTGTCGAGTGTGCGAGGTCTTTTTTGGAACTCTGTTGGTCGGAACCGAAGCCTGTGATAGAAACTATTGTGACGGGAGATGAAACTATGGTTCTCTATTATGACCCTCTATCGTAAAAAGAATCGATGGAATGGCGTCGTAAGGGTGAAGCACCTCCAAAAAAAATCAGAGTCTGCCAGTCAACAAAAAAGGTGATGGCCACGAACTTTTGGGATTGTGAAGGAATTCTTTTGATAGATTTTAAAAAAATTAATATCACTGTCAATGATAAATATTACGCAACATTATGACATAAATTGCGAGTTTGCCTAGGTGTAAAACGTATAGGAAAACTGACCAGAGGCATGCGTCTTTTGCACAATAATGCGCTTGTCCATACTGCTGGTATTGCACAAGCTGCCATTTTAAAGTGTGGGTTCCAACAGATAGATCATCCTCCCTATAGTCCAGATATGACCTCCAGCGACTATTATTTGTTTGAATTTTTGAGAAAGGACTTACGTGGAGGGCAGTTTAACTACGAAGTTGAGTTAAAAGAGGCTGATTTACCTCATTTTGCAGACAAACCAAACGAATATATTTTTAAAGGGATTGAGTTGTTAATAAAGGGATGTAATAAGTGTATTGAAGTTAAGGGGGTTATATTGAAAAATAATAAAAAAATGTTACTCTAATTTGTTTCTCCCAGATTCAGGTCGGGAAATTTTGGCGCTGCCCTCGTAAATTGAACGCACGGTACATATAGGATGTCCCGCGACATGACCGCCATAGCTTGGGAGTGTGTTGATAGGTGTTTAAAGATCATTTAAAAGAAACCTTCCTTTTGATTTTATTATTTTTGATTTATTTTCATTTTATTCTATTGAATCAGTTGTTCAAAATATCCACCCAGTTGCTGCATACATAGTCTAGCTGTTCTTAGAATCGAAGCGCTCTGCTAACAGCTTCAGGATCAGCATGAATAGTTTCTGCGGCATCCATAATTCTTGCTGCCAGTTGGTCTTTGTTTTTAATATTTCCTGCATAAAATAGAGTATTCTAGGACTTTTAAGGTTGGACCCCGAGCAATTTCGCTTAATACTGAAAACCGATTTTTGTGGAAAAAGACGGATTACCACATTTGAAGATTATGAAATGAATGAACGAATGAAGAAGTTGCTATTCAGATCAGCCATTATTAATTGAAATGTGTTCCATCACTGCAATCGGAATAAGATATTCTATTAATCACAAATATAATATACAGGGTACTCCATTCCATTACATTCCAAAATTGATAGTGTTTTGTAATTATTGTAGTTGTAGTCAGTCACGGCAACCTTTGAAATTATATAAAAAATTACTATTTTTGCCGATTTGTCAAAAACGAGTTGACTAAAATATAGAGTGTTACATCATTGCAATCGGAATAAGATGTTCAATTAAATACATATTTAATATAGAGGGTGTTCTATTTAAAAAAATATGTCAGAAAATTGACTTTGCCACTTTGTTTTGTTTTTTGGCTTACGTTGATATCGCTAAAAATAAACAAGTCGCAGCCAACTAAAATTTTACCAAGATAAATTGCACGATTTTGTCGTTGGATTTATTTGAATTATCGTGTAAAACAATCGCTTTACATACGGGGAGAAAGCCGATGTGCAAAAAAAACTGCTCCTATCGCTCACGAGTCTAAACGTTTGCTCGCAGACTACGGAATCTCAGTTAACCCGTAATCGACGGTCCGCGATCGTCCCCGGTCGTACAAAAGAAAAATCGTACGTCTTCCGGATCCGGACGAAATGAAGCGGAAACACGCACAACATCAGTGCGGCGGAGGCGGCAGTAACGGTAAAAAATCTCCGTCGACTTGGCCCATTTACGGATCGGTCGGAATGTTGGCTGTCGCGTGTTATCTGAACGGGATAGGGGGCGACTTTGTTCATGACGACATTCCCGCGGTCACCCTTAACAAGGACGTGCTGGCGATAAACCCGCTGCGGAATGTGTTCGTGAATGACTTTTGGGGAACTCCTATGGCGGACGAGAACAGTCACAAATCCTACAGGCCGCTGACCGTGCTTACGTTCAGGTAAGTTTATAGCGTTAAACGGTGAATTGTCTTGAACGGGAAAGTGCGATTATTGCGAGGGAAAATAAAACTATCCACTATACTGTAATGTTCACGTTTCCTTTTAGGTTTTAAAATAAAAAAAATTAGCCAGACTTCAAAACTTATAACTATCTTGTTGTTTACATAAAAAAAACCTAATTTTAAAGATTCTAAAATATTTTCTTCCACATTGTTTTTGCATTGTTTTGAATTTTTTATTGGATAGTTCTTTACTATCTATATCCCTTTTTTTTATTTGCTATAATATATGGACTTGTAAAATTTTATAAAATTAGTCAATTAAATTCTGTTCTATTGTAGAAGATATTAGGCATGTAATTCTCTCTTACGTCATTATTTTTTTATATGCATATGTTAGAAAAAAAAGGATGGGTACCATCGAAAATAGGATAAAACATATATATAAAAAAATACGAGGGGGTACCCAAAGAAAACCGCAATCATTTTTTATAAAGTATATATTGTTTTGAAAATCACAGAACGACCTTATCCCTTTCAAAATACTCTCCATCACAACTAATACATATGTCACAGCGGTGCTTCCACTGTTCGATACATTTTTTGTATTCATCTTTGGCTATAGCCGACAGCTCATCCCTCGTTTTTTTCTTAAACTCTTCAATATTGTCAATGCTGTCCTTTCATGTCCCTTTTCATACGTGGAAATAAGAAGTCACACGGAGCGAGATCAGGCGAGTAAGGTGCATAGGGCAGAGGAACCATGCCATTTTTAGCCAAAAACTGCTTAACAGAAATGGCTGTGTGTATTATCGTGGTGAAAGAACCAGTCCCCTGTCCGCCACAAATCGGGTCTTTTTTGTCGAATACTGTTGCTCAATCTTCTTAAAACTTCCAGATAGAAAGCTTGATTAACGGTCTCACCTGGTGTAACGAACTCTGCATAACTACGCCGTTGATGTCGAAAAAGCAAATCAGCATCGTTTTGATGTTTGATCTGACCTAACGACATTTTTTTTGGCGGGGAGACAGTGACGTCTTCCATTGGCTGGACTGTTGCTTCGTTTCTGGATCGTAACCATAGCATCATGACTCGTCGCCAGTAATGATCTTTGAAAGAAAATCTTGATCCGTTTCAAGATGTTGAACAAACTTGGCAGCAACTCTTTTCATTCCCAAATCTTCGGTTAAAATTCGCTGAACCGTGCTTCAAGACAACCCACTAATCTTTGATAATTGTTCAATTGTCTGTCGACGGTCTGTGAATCTTTTCAATATTTTCGTCGATTCGAGCATTTGACCAGAACGAGGTCGGTCATCAATTGACTCGTCGCCATTTTTGAAGCGAACAAAGCACTGGTACAGTTGAGTTTTTCCCATCGCATCGTCGTTATAAGCTGTTTCTAACATTGAAACAGGTTCAGCAGCACTTTTACCCAGCAGAAAACAAAATTTTACAGCTGCACGTTGTTCTTTTAAATTTGCCGTCGCAAAAAACGAAATAACAAAAAACAGCGTTAACAAAAAATTGCACTGCAAGTGAACAAAACAAGTTAAATTTAAAACGAAGGTGGCGTTGAACTCGCAATAAGTTGTACTATCCACAATCTAGCGGCAGAAAGGGGTACTATACTAAGATCGACTACTTATTAAAAAATATGATGAACAACAAAGGTTAGAAGACATGTTTTAATTTGAAATTTAAATAATGGCGACATCGCTATATCAACTTTAGGTTGATGTTTCTTGAGTGACCTACTTATCTACTCGCAGCGCTATTGTCTCTTTCTATTGTTTTTTCTCCTCCTTATATTATTTTCAAGTAATTGCTTTGCATCGCACACCTCTAATTTTATCTGGCCCATCGTTCAAAAAAATAAATATTCTTAAAAGCGTAAATCAACCAGTAAGAAGATTTTAACGATTACTTGACTTGATTGCGGAATTGAACGCAATTAACTGGCGAGATATCAACAGTTTATTTAGATCAGCAGTTAATAAAATTGTCTATGAGAAATCCGTAGAAGAAAGTGGATGTTCGTCTTGAAGTTTGCATAACTCTCACTTAAGAAATGGTAATCCTGAAATTCTTAAATTGAAATTTACGAAATGTAAGAAAAACTAGCCTTACTTCAAGACTTATTGTAATGTTCACTTTTCTAATACGGGGCTTAGGAAAAAAAACGGCTACGGATAGTCTTTTTGTTTAGAGTTTTTGGGTCGTTGTTCGACTACTATGCCTTCACCTAGTTCACCTAAATTTGGTGTTGGTGTTTATAAATTTTTCTAGGTGGTTTGAAATAAGGTATCGGATTACGTAGAAAGAAAAACAACTGGTCTACTTTCATGTGCTGTGTTGTACCAAGATACTTGTATAAAGAGTCTGCGATGCCTCCGAAAGATACTTTTTTTTCGCCTGTTGGTTCAAATTTTTCTTTCTTGATTCCTAATGTTGCGCACTTATCCGATCCCAATGACATCTTAATATCGTCGCTAAATGTTTTCACATACATTTCTAAGTCATCCATGAAGACCAGGAGTTTATTTTGGAATCGCGGTTTGGTTGTGGGTTGTATCCTATCTGGGCTTCATTCAGAAAGGTTGATAATGGGTTAAGTGCCAGTATAAACCACATCGATGAATCCATCATCATTTCGAAATGTAGTTTCTCATCATAGACTGCGAATTTTATTTTTAGGGTCAGTTTTAAAGATTACCGAAAATCAACAACCAGTCATGTCGGGTGAAACCAAAGACTTTTTTGTGTAACATGTAGCGATTACGTCTATTTGTTTCAGCTTATTTTGTAATTGTTGTTTAAAGCATAAAGCTCCTCTGATGCTCTTCTGAAATCAACTAATATGTATCGCAGTTCATATATATATATATATATATATATATATATATATATATATATATATATATATATATATATATATATATATATATATATATATATATATATATATATATATATATATATATATATATGTTGTTTTTTAATAATGATTTGTATAGATTATAAATAATTGAGCATATAAGTATTTCCTTCCATAAGATGTTATGAGACAGTTTCTGGACCATGCTCAATTTTTGCAAACAGTTTTGATGAGGTCGTTGCAGGACTGAAAATCCGGGGTCGTGGAATCGCGAAAAAACAACCTCGTTCCTACCTGTCCGCGTAAACATTGAAATGCAAATGTTTAAAAAACATTACCCCCCAAGCAAACAACGTAAACCATTTTGTCGGGCAACTTTTGTTTGCGGATCATTTTATCGATAGAAGGGACAAACATAAAAGCGATTTACACTTTTGAATTTATTCCGCGGCCATAAATTATGAAAACTTTTTTGGCAGCGGCACACATAGAAATGCAAATACGGCCGCATTAAATGCAGAAACAGTTTTACCAAAATAAATGTAACTATTATTAACAGAAGCCGTATTTTAATAATGTAACGCAAATTAAGGCTTTAATTTATGCGTTCCGTGTACAGTAGTTTGCTCCTCGTTTTTAGTATTCGGCATTCTGCCTTGTCAGATATATTCGTTAAAGGAAGGTTGGTAACTACAGGTAATCCACATATTAACCATGGTAAAGTAGAAATTTTGATTCTTTCCTTAAGACTATGTCTTGTTTTATTTAAGAGGTCTACAAGTATTTGGTCCCCTTTTCTTTATTTATCCCCTTCTCATTAAGTCTTTTAAAGGATTCAGTGACACCATTTAAATTCGATTCAGCAGTTCAGCACAATTCATACGGAATGATGTAGTCTTTGTTATTAGGGGTTTTTGTTGGTCTACGCATCTAGTTTGGGAGCTGACTATTGGGCGCTTGCCTTCTACTTCCTTTGATAATTAGTCGTTCTATTGTTTCTGATCTTCTAGCTATATGCCCCAGATAGGGCAGATACTTGCGGTTTATTATGGTATATATGGCTATATACCCCACGTCATATATATTGGTAACCAAAAGACAACCCTCGTTCTGTGTTTCCCATGTTCTTCAAATCTAAGGTTCAAAGGAGTTTTTGTTTCTCCGATGTATGCCTTTTTACATTCGTAGGTAGATAAACTCTTTCTCTCGACCCTAGCTGTAAATCGGTTCCATTCCAGGCGATGAAGGTATCGTCAACATATCGAAGACAGACCATGGGTTTAACAACTGCACAATTTGTTGGAAGTTGAAGACAATCCCTATCGTGCATCTTCTGAAGTAGCTTCAAGTAATGATGTGAGCCAAAGAACTGCGTTGAGTATACTAAAAGCAAGAAAATTACCATCCATACAAGGGCTATGATGTAAATGTGCAACTTTTCTTCTTATTGATTGACTTTTAAATGAATCCTATCCTAGCTGCTGCTGTTGCTGACGCTCTTACTTGTTTCAGGTTCCTATTGCTCGTGATATTAACTCGACATCACCTGCTTCACGCTTCTATCATAAATCGCCAGTTTATGTCGTCTGGGTTCTCTAGATATTGTCAAAGATGTGTCTTGTGTGATCGTACTGAATTCTTTCAGATTTTCCTTTTTCCTTCCTTTCCTTGATCTTAGACTTCTAAATTTCCTTTGGTGAAATGACATTTCTTATATGCCTGATCAATTTTACACCGTGCTTCCTGTATGCTACATTCTATGCGTTACTTTGTGGATTAGAATCAACGAGGTGCTAATACGATACAAAATTTAGTTCGATTGAAATATCAATTCCAATTAAAGAAAATTGATCGTAGCAACTTCTCGCGAGATAAACGCTTTGTTCTTATTGCGCGCTAGAGGAAAATGAGGGTCCGTGTTTGTTCGGACAAAAACACCCGTACTCCAAACTCTCTCATTACATTCAATCCAAGTACATTTTCTAGTTAAACTTTCTCGGAAAACTAACGAACGAGGGCCGCCGTAACAACTTACGGCGTCTCAACTTTTAATGCGGAATTTTAGCATGATCGCGGGCTTAAAAAGGGAATCCGCTAAATTTATTTCGCCGGGTTGAAAGT